GGAGGGAGGAAAATGAATTCAAGGTGTTTATTGCTGATATCCCTCCTTTGAGGTTAGCTTCACCTTCCAATGTCCTCTGACAGACTAGCACTGCTCCCTTCCAGGCCATTGTCACCACATAAGACTCTCTCCTTCTGGGTCTGGTATCCTTTCCCTCTTTCTTTCAATCAGTCCTGGTGGTGGGAACTTCTATGATGCTGTGAGTCAAGTCCCAGGTTTCTTTACTATCCCTGTGGTTTATCTATACCCTTTTAATTAGTCCCTTTGTAAATTAACCCTCTTGGAATTACTTCAAGTTGAATGTTTTTGCTCTCTTGTTGGGAGTATGACTAATACACACCATTCTACAGATCGAGAAAAAATAGGAAATGGTAATTGGAGCCACATCTACACAATCTTATTATACAGTCTTCTATCACAGCCCTCTGGACTAACCTAAGTGTGTCCCATGTCACCTTCTCATTCTTTTCTCCAACCACTAACTCCTTTGGTCACCTCATGTACCAAGCAGGAAGCATGACTTCAGAACCAAGCCAGAAATTCCACATTCATTTCCCTACATATCTCTTCTATTGCTTTTTCCACACTTCCCAGTATTCTTCCACTTTCTGTCCTTACTATGGACTGAAGTCCTCAATCAAAAGCAGAGGGTTTGTTTTGGTCTTTTGTCTCCAGAGCCTGGCACATGATAAGTGCTAAACAACTGCTTGTATAATGAATACATGGAAATGTCGTCTATTAAACCTTCTGTTTCCAGGCAGCCCAGGGCTGATCCATTTTCCTCCCTCCCCTGGGGATGCTCACTGCTTTTCTTGCTCCATCCAGTACAGTGCTGCTGTACTCTGACTAGTATTATGCTAGTAAGTGGTTTTTGTTGTTGTTTTGTAACAGCTTCATTGAAATATAATTCACATACCCTCTCATTCTCTTTTTGAAGTGTACAAATTAATGAACTTTAACATATTCACATATTGTGTAACCATCATCACAATCAGTTTTAGAACATTTTCACCACCTCAGCCACCCCTCCCCCAAAACCTACACCCTTTAGTAGTCAGTCTCCTTCCTCTCCATCTAGAAAGTAATATATTTTCTGTCTCAGTGGATTTGCCTATTCTCAAATTTCATATAAATGACATGCTACAAAATGTGGTCTTTTGTGAGTGACATAAAAACATTACTTATGCCAGGCATGGTGGCATATGCACACTTATAATCCCAGCAGCTCAAGAGGCTGAGGCAGGAGGATTGAGAGTTCAAAGTCAGCCTCAGCAACTTAGCAAGGCCCTAAGCAACTCAGTGAGACTCTCTTTTTAAATAAAATACAAAAAAGGAATGGATATGTTGCTCAGTGGTTAAATGTTCCTGCTTTTTGTCCCTGGTACCAAAAAACAAGCAAGCAAGCAAACAAACAAAACCCACTACCACCACCACCAACAACAACTACAACAATAAACCAACAACAAAAAACATGACTTTCATGTTTTTGAGGTTCATCCAAATTGTAGCATGTATCTCATTCCTTTTTATGGCTGAATAATATTTCATTGTATGGGTATACTACACCTTCTGGGTCTGGTATCCTTTTCTAACTGATAGGTTGTTCCCACCGAATAATGATAACAGTTGAACAACAAATAATCTGTTTTTTCAAAAATATCACATGACTTGGAACATCTGTAGATTTCCATGATACAACATTTCCATTTTGGTTGATTGCAAGCTACATAATGTGACTGAACACATAATCAGAAAGAGATGCTAAAATAAGCTCTTGTGAGTACTTATGAGCCAGTTCCAACACACTACTAACCATCTTTACTCTTGGTTTACTCCAGTGACTAGCGATGTGATCCCATGCAGTGACATTTCCCATACTATTACTTTAGGAGAATAATAAGATAGCAGTCAGTAGTTATTAAGTACTTTCTATGTTCCAGGCATTGTGCTAAGCACTTTTTCCTTCATTTAATTTTTGGTCACTGTTCACCTTCTTGGCTGCCATCAGCTCCAAACTACCAATAATCTATGCTTGGTTCATTGTCTCCTAGCTGTTCTCCCTGCAGTTCTCAGATACTCCACAAGTGTGTTACATGTCACAACTTTAGCACTGGCTTCCTTTACCTAGTATGCTTTTACTCCATATATCCTCACAGGTCATTTATTCATTTCTATCAGATCTGTGCTTGGGTGTCCCTTCCTCAGAAAGGCTCTTTCACTAGCTCATCCCCTTATCTAATCTTTTGCCATGTTTCATTTTTCTTCATAGCATTTATCATGAACATTCTGTTACTCTCTATTTATCTTATGGTTGATTTTCCCACATAATGTAAGTGCCTTAAAAGGAGGTCTTTTGTTTCATGCATACTGTGTCTCAGTTCCAAAGCCATGCCTTTTACCGTGCTGCTGTAGCTGGGAAATTCAGAAATTTCAAACAAGTGCTCTCTTCTTCCTCCCCCTGCTCCTTTCAGTGCTATTAAAGGAATGTTTAGAGGATATTCTATCTCAACCCTGCATTCCCATTACTGGTACAAATTCTGTCACAGATAGAACTCAGCTGACATAGCTGGGAGATAATTCATAATGTGGCTATGAGTGTGTCTCACTCTGGAGCCAAACTAGGTAGACCCACATCCCAGCTCTCTGTGTGCCTTGGGTCAAGTTACTTAACTTTTCAGAGTTTTCCCATCTTTAACATGGGATAAATTCATACTTTATTCATCTGTTGAGATGGTTAAATTAATAAGTTCAACTGATTAATCTATAGCAAGTGCTTGATAGAGTTTGTCTTCAGAGCTCTCAGGACATCTTCTAGAAGTAAGTGTTTCTATGGAAGTCACTTGTTGATGGATGCCATGTGTAGGCCCTGTACAAGTCTTTTTTTTTTTTTTTAATAATGTAAGGATTTTTTAATTTATGATATCAAAATTATAATAAGAGTTTATTTTATGTAGAATATAAAATTCCACATAAAACACATATGGATGAAACACAATAGTCACTGAAAGTTAAGTTTTAGAAGAATATTTAACAACATGGGAAATACTAATAATGTGGTTTTAGAATTTTAAAATGCAAAGCACAGACTGCTTGCTGCTGCACTGACCCTAAGAGTTACTGATTTATTGGGGGCTTTTTGTTCCTTTATTATTATTTGTTATTTTTAGATATACATGACAGTAGAGTATTTTTAATATTTTTTAATTGTCAATGGACCTTTTATTTATTAGTTTATTAATTTATTTATATGTGGTGCTGAGAATCAAACCCAGTGCCTCACACATGCTAGGCAAGTGTTCTACCGCCGAGCTACAACTCCAGACCCTGTAGTGTATTTTGACATATTATACATACACGGAATATAAGTTATTCTAATTAGGATTCCATTCTTGTGGTTGAACATGATGTGGAATTTCACTGGTGGTATATTCATATATGAACAGAGGAAAGTTATGTTGTGATTCATTCTACAGTCTTTCCTATTTCTATCCTCCCTCCCTTCCCTTCATTCCCCTTTGTCTAATCCAATGAACTTCTTCCCTCCCCTCACCTTTTTGTGTATAAGCATCCAAATATCAAAGGGAACATTGGATCTTTGATTTTGGGGGATTGGTTTATTTCACTTCATATGATAGTCTCCAAATTCATCCATTTACCAGCAAAAGTCATAAAATCATTCTTTTTAAATAGCTGAATAATATTCCATTGTGTATATATTCCACATTTTCTTTCTCCATTCACCTGTTGAAGGGCACATAGGTTGGTTCTGTAGCTTAGCTATTGTGAATTAAGCTGCTATAAACATTGATGTGGCTGTATCACTGTAGTGTGGTGATTTTATTAAGCCTGCACAAGTCTTGACATGCCTCTCTGCAGCCCTTTCCATTATCTGCATTGCTGTCATTCTGTAGGAGCACTCCTGGATTGTCCTGCTGCCCCATGTTCTTCACCTGCATTCGTTTTCCACAGAAGATGACCCCTGGACTTCAAGAAAGTGTCATAAGCCTGTTCCTTTTTTTCTAACTAAACACCTAGATTAACCACTAGATTTAGAAAGGCCCAGGGGAAACTTGATATGACTTTCAGCCTGACTAGCATATCCAAAGCATCCCCAGAGCAGGAAAAAAGACATCCCATAAAGAAGACACCTTTACACATAAGTTCCAGGACATTGAAAATAAAGAAAGCATTAGTGGTCTTGTGAGAGTGAGTGGAGAAAGAAGGAGATGGCAAGTCACTCATGAAAGAAAGAGAAACTATCTAGTGTGCAGAACTGGCTGGAAAGAAAGCCCCTAAGCCCTCAAGTCCATTTTGCTAAAAGTCCCTGCTAGGTAGGTCTCCCCAATCCAAGTAACTTGTAACTCTATCCCTCTACTCAACTCCACCTCCCCCCCACCTCCCAAATTCATGAAAATTTGGTTAAAGTCATGAATTTCTCACATGGAGAACTTCATTTGCTAATTTCAGAGAAATTCAGTTCCATTAATATTTACTGAACATCCACAAGGTGCTGGGCAGTCCCAGGAATCCTGGGAACCCACAGTCTACAGCCTCATCCCAGAAAAATAACTGTCTTGGAGCATCCTCATTTCTGCGGGGTCCGCTTCTGGGTTCTGATCCCTGCAAAAAACATCAACACTTCTTCGTACTCAGTTTCCCACTGAGCTCCACAGGGGCCTCCCTGAAGCGCTGAAGGATTAAGGGGCGGGGAATGAGAGGGCTGGGAAGGTAAGGAGGGAATGAGGGGGAAGGAGTTAGGTGCCTTTCCCCCTTCTAATCGTGTTCCAATAAGGAGTCGATCGTGTTCTCAGGAGTGGATTCTGGCCGCCCAGGGACTCTTCCAGGAACCGCCTGGCATCCTGGGCCGTGGACTTTGGCTGGTCTGGCGTCCCAGACTGCCTCCTCCCCTTCTCTCCTCCCCCCAGGCTCGGTGCCTCACTCAGGGGCGTGTCCTGCCCTACCTCCCTTTCACAGTGGTCCACTCAGCCGGTTACAGCGGCAGCAGAGCGGCGGCGGCAGCCAGCGCGAGAGCAGCGGCAGCCCGAGTTTCCACGACAGGAGCGGTGGCTGCGGCAGCCGCTCAGGGCCCGGCACCTGTGCGGAGCGGGAGTAGCAGGACGAGTGTGGGTGGGGTTGGTGCCAACCACTCAGAGCCCAAGGAGGACAGGGCATCTCCCAGCTGGGATTCCACTCCTGGGAACAACCTCCGGCTGACAGGGGAGGTGGTACCGAGCTGGGAACGCTGGTGCGGGAAACATGTGCAGGAACAGCTAGAGGCCTCCGGGCAGGTCAACGTTTGGTCCAAGGGTAGAGAGGCAAGCGGTGCCTGGATCATGACAGCCTCCCGTCTGGACTTCGGGGAAGTGGAAACTTTCCTGGATAGGCACCCAGAGTTGTTCGAAGATTACTTGATGCGGAAGGGGAAGCAGGAGATGGTGGAGAAGTGGCTGCAGAGACACAGTCAGGGTCAGGGGGCTTCAGGCCCAAGGCCTGCTCCGGCTGGCACCGGCAACTTGGCTCACGACGGTGGCAGAACCAGCAATACGGTTGGTGGTAGCACTGGACCAAATGGCTCTGCCAACAGCCAGCCCATTCCTGGTGGTGGGGACTGTGGTGGGGTTCCCCTGAGTCCAAGTTGGGCCAGTGGCACCCGGGGCAATGGGAGCCTGCAGCGGAGAGCTTCTCAGAAAGAGCTAAGGAAGAGTTTTGCCCGCTCCAAGGCCATCCATGTGAACAGGACCTACGATGAACAGGTGACCTCTCGGGCCCAGGAGCCCCTGAGCAGTGTGCGGCGGAGGGCACTTCTCCGGAAGGCCAGCTCCCTGCCCCCCACCACAGCCCACATTCTCAGTGCCCTGCTGGAATCAAGGGTGAATCTGCCTCAGTACCCCCCGACGGCCATCGACTACAAGTGCCATCTCAAAAAGCATAATGAGCGTCAGTTCTTCTTGGAACTGGTCAAGGATATTTCCAATGACCTTGACCTCACCAGCCTAAGCTACAAGATCCTCATCTTTGTTTGTCTCATGGTGGACGCTGACCGCTGTTCTCTCTTCCTAGTGGAAGGGGCAGCTGCTGGCAAGAAGAGCTTGGTCTCCAAATTCTTTGATGTGCATGCAGGAACCCCACTGCTGCCCTGCAGCAGCACAGAGAACTCAAATGAGGTGCAGGTCCCCTGGGGCAAAGGCATCATTGGCTATGTCGGGGAGCATGGAGAAACAGTCAACATTCCTGATGCCTACCAGGTAGGACTTTGCCTTGTCCTCTCCTCCCTGAACCCCACTGGTTTGGCAGCCAAGCCTTGCATTATTACCCTTGGGCATCCAGTCACACATTCACTTACATTCTTTAGGATACAATCTTGCTCTTTGAATTCCTTTTTGAGTTTAGGCTCCTTAGAATGTTACCACATTATCTTTGATGTAATGGTCTTTTTCTAACACAAGGTGGCTTATGGGAAATTCATGTATCACCCAATATTACCACATGTTTCTCTGTCGAGATACTCTGTCTTTAAGAATGTCAACATATGTTTTTAGAATGTATTTGTGAACTGCTAGGAGAAGGAAAAAAAAGGACTCTACCCCAGAATTCCAGTATTAGTCTGAAAAAAAGGGGGGTATTTTGGTATCTCTGATTTGCGGGGGGTGGGGGGGTGGTTATGATGCTTTTTCTTTCACTAATTCAAGGTTGGAAAGGAAATAAAGTTCCTAACTACTTTCTTATTCCCTCTCATAGCTTATATTGGCAATACTTCCACAATAAGAAAGAAAAAGAGGAGAGGAGGAAAGTTAGGAGAAGAATGGGCCTCTGACCCATTTGGCTCTTCCTAGCATTGTTTCTGTTGTTGAATTTAGAGAGATTGGACAAATAGAGGGACTAGTTATCTTTAGGTGTGAATATAGTATTATCTGCAGTCAGCTTTTGACAGGACTGAGAAAGCAGGGTTTTAGTTTGTAAAATAAACAACAACAACAACAAAAATTGATATATTTTTTAGCAGCTCCCAAGGCTATTGGCAGAGTAAACACACTTGTTTTAAATGGAAAAGAGAAGTCAACATGCTATCATCTGGTTTTTCTAACCCTTTCATTTTCACAGTGATTTGTACTTGATACTTGATGCTGAATCTGAAAGCCAGTCAGTTCTAATTTCTTCAGTATCTATTCACTGAATGTGATGATGCTAGTTGTCACTTTCTATGAGATGTCTTCAGGGTTCATAGAAATTGAAAGTTCTTATTTTTTGTTATGAAAATTTTATAATCATTTGATGACTATTTCTTCTATTTGTTTCATAAAAGATGTTTCTCCCGTGTTTGGTTGCTATTGATCACAATTGTTAGAAGCGGTGGGAAGAACACTAATTGTAAAATTTTCCTCTACTTCATCTGAAAGTTTATAATTTTACATAGAAAAATTGATTGGGTTGTTCTAAGCCTCATATTTTTGTCAGATGGCTATCAATGTATCCTCTAATATTAAGGGATGCCTATTAAAATACCACTTTGTTAAGTTTTTGTTGCTGCTTAGATGAATTATTCATTATATCTTTCTTGAAGACTTTGATAGGTTTAGATCCAACAACTAACTAATGATTTTCAACAAGTGTCTATTTCCCCACAACCATAGAAAGCTATGAGAGGAAATAAAAGCATTTAGGGCTGGGTTGTGGCTCAGTAATAAGCGCTCACTTAGCATGCATGAGGCACTGGGTTTGGTCCTCAGCACCACATAAAAATAAGTTATTGTGTCCACCTACAACTAAATATATATATGTTGATATGTCAAAGATTCTATAAAACAGGTTTAAGAATCACAATTTCTTTCCTTTGCTATTGTTTCTACATTCTTTTTGTGCTTAAGCTACAAAAATCCCTTCCTCATTGGAAAATACTTGTTAAAGCTTGGGACTGCAGTGTTTTTATTTTTATTGTCTTTACTTATTCATTTTCTATTGATTTTCTCTTCTTTCTGTAGTTTTAATTTTTATCATTCTCTTTCAGCTCCTAACTTTAAGACTTTTCATATGCAGCCCTTTTTTCTGGAGCGTGATTCTTGGTCTCCTCAACAGTTAACTTGTCTTCCTGCTGCTTGGAATTATGGTTATGGGTGTTGTAACAGGCATAGAAAATCAGGTTTCAGCAGCTGTTGCTTCCTGTGGGTTCTGCTACTACTCTGCAGACAGAGTGAAAGCTAAGTTGCCTTTTAATATTTGGAAGCTGACATTGGGAAAGGCAAGTAATGATGGCTATAAATAAGACTGGGATCTTGAGAGGATTAGCAAAAGGCAGGTAGGGGAAGGGTGCTATATGGACTTGGAGCTTGAGATCTTCTTTAACCTGCTTTCCTTTCTTTCTGGTTAGAAAGTTTGTTTTCTTTCTCCATTGGCTTCTATTATGCATTTGTGTATTTTAATTGGAATACATTTATGTATTTATAATTTTACTTGTGCTACTCTTCTTTGATAAAAAATACATTTTTCTTTATCTTCATATACACCATCCTCATTGGTGTAAACTAAGGAGAATTTATATATCAGTATCAACTTCTCCATCTGCAAAATGGACACAATAACTCCTACTTGGCAAAGTTTATTGTTATAAAAATAAAATGAGATACTGCATTAAAGCCTCTAAAAGGGTCCCTGGCATATTTTAATTACTCAAAAAAAAAATGTTTAACAGTTTATAGTGGCGATGATGATATTCAGTTTGCTAGATTCTTTTTCTTTATATCATTATCAGTTGTTTTCCTCCTCATCCAAGACTGAGCTCTGAATTCAGCACAGCACATTTTGACCGGCCTACTCTTGCCCTGAGCCATGTTCCAACCTTAAATTAAGTGCTTTACAAGGAATATAGAAAAAGTGATTCTTCCACAATCTACTTAGAAGTCTCCTAAATGTGATTGTAACATCTGATCATATTCTAGCCTATTGAAAGTTCTGTACTTTTCTTCTTAGTAAGTCATGCAATTTGAACTTTTTATGAAGTCATGTTGATGTTGTGTCCTTCTCCAGTTCAAGCATTTCTCCCCTCCTTTTTATTTTTTTAATTTGGTACCAGCCTGAGTTGCAAGGCCTTGCTAAATTCCTGAGGCTGGCTTTGAACTAGTAATCCTCCTGTTTCAGCCTCTCAAGCTGCTGTGATTACAGGCATGCAGTCAGCTCCCTCCTCCTTTTTATTTCCTGCTGTTATACATTTTTCTTAATGAAAACTGACAACTTTCCAAATGCATGTATTTTTTACTATGATGTATTTTAGTTCTTATCATGTATAAATATCTTGAAGTTTCTAGGTAAAAAATATAACCATCCTTCCTGATTCTTTATGAACTAATATTTTTTTAAAAAAATTTCTTGCTCAAATTCAATTAGCATTCTTTTTTTTTTCTTCATAAGATGTAATTTTTATCATGCAGAGTTTCAAAATTTCACCTCCTGACAATTAGATTCATTATCTTAATCACTGGATGTTCATAATATGAGCAAGAGAAAGCCATTGAAGACAATTATGAAATTGTGATAATAAGTGTGGCATTCTAAAGTCAAGAGTAGAATATTTAAAGAAATACTGAATAGTAAATAAAACTGTGGCAGCAAAAACCTCTCTGTTTATTTCATTATATTGTGTTAATCAGTCCTAAAAAACAGTTGAAAGTAGGAGAAAAACAAAGAATAGCAAGTGGAAAAATAAATTCATCTCAGGTACCTAGAATGATCACAGTGAAAGCAATTTACCATTTTTCTCTGAAAGTTATAAGTTATTAAATAGCCTACTTTAATATAGTAATGAATAAATTGCCCTCAAGAGGTTCAAATTCAAAATAAGAGCACTCAAGTAACAGGTGTTCTCTTTGAGATTATTCTAAACATCCAAAATATAGCACTTTAATCATTAATAAAAAGTGTGAGACGAATTTGTGTTAGTGTTGATAATGATGATACAGGTATTGAATGGGCTTGCGTCTGAAAAGCAGGAGAATGTTTTGTTAGGTGAACTGAGAAAAAGAAAGAGGATGACGCAGAAGAGTTCCAGGTGTGCTAGGCTTTCAGAAGACCTAATCTGTTTACATAACAGATTCATTTGTTCATCAGATCCAACAAACAGGCACTAAAAAACCATTATACCCAAGGCCTTGAATAGGGAGCCTCAGGGTATACAAAGGTGAGAGAACACACTTCCTGTCCCCTGCGTGCTTACAGTTGAGGACCATGTACTCTACACAAACAGCCAACATTGAGCTATACTTAAATGGCAAAAATAAATGGTACTCCTCTTGGAGAAGAGTGGAGTCACTTTGTGACTGAGCTGATGATGGTAGACTTCATGGAGGCGGTTCTATTTGAGCTGTAAAAAGGGTTAGGTTTCCTAGCTTGGAGATGGTTGTGAATTGAGGGGATATGAAGCAAGTACTGCAAAATGGCTTTAGCAGACACAGTTATGAGGAGGCACAAAATATGTATAGGGGACATTGAGTGTTTTAATTTGCCCAAATTTTTCATATACTATATGTAGCATGAATATGCAAAAGTAAGATGAAGGCAAAAAAAGAAAGGACCTTGAGCACCTGGCTAATAGGTGGTTAGGAGCCTTTAAACACATATTAACAGGATCATACTGGTGTTTTGAATAACTTGGTATTGGTGGCTGAGTGGATTGAACAGAGAAAGACTCGAAGTGGTAAAAATAATTAAGAGTCTATTATGGTGGTCTGATGGAGCCATAATAAACAATTGAACTAAAGTAGCAACAGTGGGAATGGGTAGCAGGGGACAGATGGGGGATGTCGTGCAGATGTGGATTTGGGCTAGGAGGGAGGGAAGTCAATGATGACTCAGAGAGTCTAAGCCTGGGAAATATGGAGAAGGGTAATGCCTTTATCAAAAGACAGGAAGAGAAACTGGTTTAAAGGGAAGAAATTCTAAGCAGGATCAGCTATGTAATTTGTAGAACTTAGAGCAAAATGATAAAGCAGGGCTCCAGCTTGGGATGGAGAAGTCAATCTCCCCTTCCCAATATTTGCTCTCCAACCACAGCAATTTCCATACAGGGAATTCTAAGGGGTTGCAACTTCCAGGCTGGGAAATTCTCAGTATCTGGATTGGAGGTGGATGAGAATTGCTGCTAAATGTGTCCCAGTACTGCCAGCTGTGGTAGAGACGATCACAACCTTGCTCTGAGATGACATGGGAATTGCACTTGACTCTCCGCGCATGCCCTCACCCAGACTTCATCCAAGAA